CCAACTATGTATTCGACATTTATTCAAAGACTTAAATCAATTAATTTTTAGCTACTCACCCGAGCATGTATGTATATGTGATATTTAATCTGAGTTATTTGGATTATTATACAAAGAAAACCTCAATTTGAAATCATTTAATGTTTGTTTTCGATTGAATGACCACTGTGCACACTGCTCGCAGCTTGTATTGATAAGATGCGCTCGCATTGCAATTGACATCGTTGAAGCGAACAACGCCATTTGCATTTATTTTTACAATTCATATTTATTTTTGGCAGCCTTCACTTTTGCCTTATGTAAAATGCTTGATGTATATGCCCTGTATAAGAAAGGGTATTATGTAATTTGAAAGGAGCATGATAGAAGTCGGATGCATGGGAATAAAATATTGTATATAAACTTGAATATATAAACATTATAAATATATAATTTGAATTTTGCAATTTGTAATATATTTAACATTTAGTTATATTTCACGCAGGCAGTAAACTACTCTACTGGGTATCCCATAGTCTGGCATACTCGCCTGCATCACTTACATTTATTCACTTGCGCTTTGGTGGCATCTTTTTGGCTGGTATCGCTTTACGGCCTGCGGTTGCTGCGGCTCCTGTGGATGCAACAGCTGCGCTTCTAGCCGAATCGAGTCGAGTCGAGCCGCAAGTGCTGGGCAAATGTATCTGCGGGCGAGTATCTGAGTATCCGAGTATCTTGATATCGCCGTCTCTGCATATCTGTGTATCTTGGTAGCTTTGTATGTTTGCGCCTTGTGCCATATGTGGCAACTCGTGGCTGACGTCTATTGTGGCCCGCTTGACTTTTGTGCATTACGTAAGCGCAGCTCTTGCCGAAATGGCCCCCAGTCCCCCCACCCTCCCTCTCTCTCTTCCAGTCTCTTCCGAATGATTGGAAGTTGTGGCTGCAGTTGCTGTGAACACGAAGTCTGTGTGTGTTGACTGTGTGTAGTTTTCGAATTGGGAATGAAGTGCAGCGCTCCGTTTGACACTTGCAGCTGTCAGCGCGGCACTGATTGATCGACTGTGAGTGTGTGTGTGTGTGTGAGTGTGTGTGGGTGCAGAAGGGTGAAGCCCAATGATTAACTGGGCCAAAACAAACACTTTGAATGCAACACAAGCTGAGGTTAATGATTCGAACAGTTTGCATTCGAAGCAGCTGACAAAACACGCAGAGATCAATCAGCTACGGTGTCAGGTGCCCAAGAGAAGAGAGCAAATAAGTTTGGTGTATATCAATATGACAATAAATGAGCATAAAATAACAATAGCACAACAAAGAAGTGGAGGGCATTAAACTAATGCAAAGACATAATCATAAATAACTAAATAAATATAACTAGGGTTCCTTATTTCTTCGAAACAATTGATCGCATTGCCTATCGCCATCTCGTTGTTTGAGGGGAATCGGTGAATGAAGGAACATTCTTTGCGCATTCTTAAGCTACTGATGATTCGATTCATGATCATAGATCGGAGGGAGCAATAGTGGAAAGTGTTAAAAGATTTCAGTCTCTTTGTCATAAAATCAAAATCATTAATTTTTGATCGTTTATAGCATATTACACCGAGGGAACCTTTTTTGCAATTAATATTTTCTTTGGTTATCGGAGTTTATTCACGAATGGGCATGCTCCAAAGTCTTGAATTGTCGTGCAACTGTCGTGAAAGTGTCAAGTTTCAAATACTCTAAAAGCTTCGTTGCATAAGAAACCATGACTAAGGAGTTTGCCACAAAAATATATTGAATAATATATGACTATCAAGCAGGAATACACAAAGTTTTCTCGGTAGAGTATTGATTCGTTTACCAAAAATCTGAAAGGGAGATTGTTATATGTTTGGTTGATCATGATATCGCTGAATTGTTTTGGAATTGTAATTTCAAGATTTATTTTTCATTCACTAATTAATCATCTTTTTCTGCTATTTGTTCAAAGTGAGACCATATATTATATATATCATATTTTTATAGTCTTCGCTGCCTTAATTTATTGGTCAATAATTATAAGGATAAATATATACATTAAATATTTATTACCTAATGTCTTTACATATTGTTTATATTATCTTTATAAACTTATAAATATATCCAAATCTCAACCTTTGTCTCAGAGCTGACCTTAATTCCATCTTCCATCTCTCTACCATCTGCGCTTTTATCTATAATCAGCTACACTCGTAACGCATTTGAACTTCAGCCAGGTCAAGTGGGAATGCTCAGTACATCTAGAATGATTGATGAGAATCATTCAAGAGCTGCTTTCCGAGCGTTTAGCTGCTGAAAAGCCAACGGCAAAAGATTCCACCTTATCTATATGAAAAAGTTTGCCGCACGTTCGCTGTCTTTTGGCTTTTATGGAAGCCATTAGGAATTCCTATTGATAAAACAATAAAATTCTATACATGTTCTGTAATTCTGTAACTAAAAATCAGTTAAGCTCAACTTGAAGAATTTATGAGACTTTTCCTACTTTGTTCAGTTAGCTTTTCTTAGATTTTTCTCACCGTGATTTGTTTTCTTACTCCAGTTTTCGCTCAGTGCAGCTGTTGAACGTGCACTCGACAGCATTTATCTATCAATTGTGCGTGCTGGCAACTTGTTAGCCAACTGCAAGAGTCTGCCACAAGTCGATCCCCTCCTCCCACCCTTCCCCTCCCTCAGTTCCATGCAATTTTTGACCCCATTCAGAAAAACTTTCTTTGGAGGCAGCGCGCGCCGCACGAAATTAATTTAAATTTATTGTCTCAATTTATAATGCTGCAAATTGAGCGTTTGCCAAAAATAAACGTTGACAGCATTCGTTCGCATAGTTCAATGTCTTCCTCAGCTGGGCCACGCCCACTTCAGGGCGGCCCTCTTCAAACTGAACTTGAACTTGGCTTTGGCTTTGGCATCGGCATCGGCAAAAGTCAAAAGTTTTTCCGATTCGCAATTGTATCTATGCGAATAGTTATTATCAAGTTTGCCGTCATCTAAGTCCAAGTTGAAGTTTCCTAGTTTTTCTCTGCTCTTCCGCTCGGTGGGCACTCGAATCTCGAGCTGTGGATGCAGAGAGCAGAGTTCGCAAACGCAGCCGAACAAATTGAGTGCACACAGACGGGCAGACGTTTGTCATTTGTCTGCTGTCATGTCAGTTGTCAGTTTGATTTTCGACTTCTTGTTGTTTGTTTTATTGTTGCTGCCGCTTGTTTTTTATGGTTATTTTAAATTGTAACAACTGCTATGACGACGTCCACGACGACAGCAGTCCACAACAACAACAACAAGAACAACGACGGACTACGAAAGTAAAAATAAAATAAATAATAATATATGTATATATATAATAAAATGCCAAAAGACAAACAAAAGACAAATTCTGCACTCTGCGAGAGCTTGCTGACAATTTTTTATAGATTTTTCTATGCTCTACATGTGCAATTTGTGAACAGGGTATATTGGCTGTGAAATAGCACAGGAAGCAAGCTCTAAATAATAAGTTAACTTAATTTATTTATTTTATGAATATAAACTGAAAGTTTTTATTAAATAAGTTTTTCTAGTGCGCTTAAATTAATACTTTTATATTTTTAAAGTTTATTTCTGTTCCATGCTCAATTCAAATCACATTTGTGATAGATTACCCTTGAATTGGGAATAAATAATAATTTCCTTATGAATGATGTATTGTATATTAGTAGTATTTGGTATTTGGCCAAGGATCTCAACATCATTTTTCAAATCAATCTGCACTCTTAAATATTTCCTACAAGAAGCTGACGTGAAAGTGTTCTTATTATACTTGAAAACTCTGCCCTCAAGTGGGAAAGTCAGATTCTTGCCTACCAAATGTAACCAATATTATTTATCAGTTGAGTAAACAGCAACCAGAAACGCATAATCGTCATGTTGATCTGGAAACTACTAAAGTCTCTGCATATATTATTTATATACCGTTTGAGCGCAGCTTCCCATGCCAGATCTATTCGGTAGAGCATCTGGGAGCGCATTGCCTTCCGCCACTTTTGATAGGTTTCGTATACTTTCGGTTTGACACACGAGCTGCGCCATAGAGTTTTACAGTCGCTGACGTCTGAGCACTTTATCTTAATGTCAATTCTTTCCGTTCGGGGGTTCGGCTCGGGGTTTCGGGGTTTCGGGTTCTGCTAGATGGCGGCCTTCGAATTGGGCGGTCCGTTTGGTGCCTCCGCTTGGTGCGTGCTGTGCTGTGCGTGAAGCAGTTAAAACGACGTTCAAGCAAATTAACAATAAAATAGCCATTTGTAAGTCAAGTTCGGGCCACGTTTAGAGCTGTCAAAAAATCACGACATCGTTGCGTTAATGGCGCTTAGAGTTGAGCTGAGCGAGATAAACTGGCGCTAGGATTTGCATTTACATATATATTAGGCGGGCTTAAGGCCCAGTGACTCATCAACTTGCAATGCACTGGGAAAAATAGTCATCGAGTTGAACGGGATATGAAAGGCATAGCAATCAAATTGAGATCTTTCTAGATTTAGATTCATCTAATGAATTGCGCAACAGAAAATTAAAATTTCTTACCTAAGTCAATTGTAATATTCCAGTTCTACAATATTTTCAATTGAGGCAAAGTCTGGCACATTAATATTAGAGGTCAGGGATTATAATGAATTCACAAGAACAATGACTGAAGAATTTTCTGACTTAATAAATTCCACAACAAATTCATTAATTAATATATATAGTTCAATAAAATAAAATGTTAAAGTTTTTAATTGAAACAAAATAATAAAACAGAATGAATTCTTTTCTGTTAATTGAATTTTTAAATATTTCTGTAAATATACCTATGTATATTTGTATATATACTATTATGTATTAAGTTTTATTTGTGATATGTTCCATCTGTTAGTCGCTCAATAGATTTCCCTCAGTGTATTTGATCGCTTGCATTGAAGCTTTAAATGCAGCCACTCAAGGCGCTTCTGAACTCATTTGTGTTTGGTCTCTGCTTGCAGTACGACAACGTGAATTCGTGCCTGCACGTGCTGCGGAGTCAATCGGTGGGCGGCTTGGACAACATCACGACGAACGACATCTGCGCGGGTCGCCTCAAGGCTGTCCTTGCGTTGTTCTTTGCATTGAGCCGGTACAAGCAGCAGGCGAAGCAGACGAAGTCCATCGGCGTTGGCTGCGCAGTTGGCGCAAGTGGTGCAGCTGGCACAATTGGCGGTGGCTCTGTCTTGGGCATTGGCCTGGGCGGCAGTCTGAGAGCATCGACTGCCAACAATTCGCTGGACAGAAAACAACAGCAGGAGCAGCAGCAGCAGCAGCAGCAGCAGCAAAACAAGCAACAACAAACGCCACAGCAGCTGGCTCAATCCTTGGAGAACGGCAATGAGATGGTGAATCGGTAAGTACAGCAAATAAATATATTTCATATATAGTTTTTGGTAAGATTTGTATAAATTTAAAATTCAAAGTGTAACAGCTAGCGTTAACAGTGTATTATATAGCGTTCAGCATTTGTCTGGTATAGTTGCGGTGATACGGTTTTTGTCTTCGCTAAATGAGCTGAAAAACTTGACGAAACTGTTAATGCAGCTGGTTTGTGTCTCAACTATCAACTTGACGAAACTTGCTCCACCTGTTAACGAATGCTGAGTTAACAGCAGCTCTGCTAAGCTTACTGAGTAGAGTTTCAAATAACATAAACATAATTTAAACTATGCCTTTTAGTTTAACAGATGTGAGACCATGTTAAACTATGCCAGCTTTACATATGTTATACTTAGCATATGCTAAGCCTTAATTCCTAGTTTAACTTATGTCAGAGTCTTCGTTGATAGCTCTGATAGCTTTACTTATGCTGGCTATGAAGAGGAAGATTCGACTTTTAGCCAAAATTAACTCGTAGAGATGAAAGAATCTCAATAAAACAAAATTATAGCATGGAATTTGGACCTTTTGGGCTTATAATATTAAATGCCATCCCTCCGAGCTGTGCGTCTGTTAACGCGGATTTGCTTAAATGCCAAACAACATTTTGCCCCCGCAGAGTCGAAACCCTCCTTAGACGTAGCTCAGCCTCAAAGCAAAGTCATATCAAATGGAAATGTCGCAGATTTCCGATGCATTTGGCTTACACCGCCATAAGACTTCCGGCAAGACTTCATCTGGTAAAAAATAAATTCCAAGCAAGTTTAATATGATTTATTGGTTTGTTTGCCGGAAATTACAGGCGATTCAGCTCACTCGCTCCGCCAACATCTGTCCCCAACTCGTAAAAAAAAGGAACCCCAAGCTTCGGATTCCGTTCCGAGGCTGAGACACTAAGCAAACAAAATTGGCATACTATAAGAGGACAATCTGTGTGCGAGTGTTTGAGCTCTTGAAGTGCAGCTGAAAAATTCAAAACACGAGAATGGAAAATTAGAAAACTTTATATTTGGTCGAGGAAAGCCTCATGCAAAGCGAGCGAGTGCGAGAGAGAGATAGAGAGTTTCCGTCGTCTGCGTCTCGGGAGTTTTCTTGTGTGTTTGCAACCCTCGGGGAAATCCCAGCAGAGCAGACAGGAAACGGAAGCTTTTGTTGTGCTACCAAAAATACGGATAGGGAAATGGGGATCAGGGTACAGACCATTCGCCGTTTAACTCTCGTTTCGGGGTCTGGCAATCGCCCTCCACACTTCCCGCCCTGTGACGCCATGTGTTGATGACTTTCACTGACTATGAAATTTAAATGCGTAACGGAAATGTTGGCAGTGTTATTTTTTGGTTGAGGGGCGCGTTGACTCGCAGACAAATAAATTACACAGGATTTTTATGGGCGTCCTTGCGCCTAGTTTGTGGTAGGCAACAGGGAAAAACACGGACGGGGCTACAGGACACAGGACAGGACGACAGGACGATGACAACAATGCGGCAAGTTCATTTAAAGTTCCAAATGCCATAAAACTTTCACTGCAAACTGGAATGAACGTGGTCTGTGCATACCTTAACAGTGGCACAATTCAAACAAATTGTTAAGCAGAAAGGGGAGATAGATTCTCAAATGCATCATAATCAGGAATTCCTAGAGAAGAGAAATAGGGCTGGCATAACAGAGCCACACACTTTGTACAAGCACCATTGCAAGAGTATTTAATATTCGGCTATAGCTAATATTCCTCTCTTTCTCCCGACTACGTTGTGCGTTGTTTATAATGTCTGCGGTCTGGCGACCTAGACACTGAAACCCTGTGCTGTCCAGCCTGCTGCAGAAGTTTCAGCTGTGCCAAAGCAACCCCCAAAAATGTCAAGCTAACCATTAGCGAATGGCAATGGGACCCCTGAAGAGGGGGGCTCATCTACTGGAGGGAGAAGCTATGTACATCTGAAATTCAAAAGCATTTTTAACGGCAAGCGACAAGTCGAGCAGCTGGTGCACAGCGTTTTATAAAGTTGCCTCGCGCACGACTTTCTGCCAACAGTTTGCAAGTTTTCTGTAGCTGGCACTGATTTGGCCTTCCGCACTTGCCACCAGCCGCCAGCCGTCAGCCACCAGCCACCAGCCAGGCAACATGTTGCATATAATTAAACTAAAAATTGCGAGAAAGCAAGCTGTTTGACTCGTTCTCGAGACGGAAGACTTCAGCAACAGCTGATGACATTTCCACCCTGTAGCTGTAGCTGGAGCAGGAGCTGGAGCTAGAGCCGGAAAGCTGCCATTTATAACTGCAAATTGCGAGCCAGACATTGCAACAATATGTGCTCCCAAACGTATTTATAACATTTGTAACGGAGCCAAGAAGGATCTCTGGGTCGAGAGGCTGGGGAGTTTAATGGCTTCAAAATAACCCCCGATGCTACGGGACGTGGAGGTCACATAATTGACATGCGGCAGCTGAGGGCGTGAATTCCAATGCATACGTTCAAGGAGCTAAGCCCGAGCCAAGCCGGAGGACTAACTCCATCCTCACCCATGGCAATGGGGGGTAGGTAAAGCGCCCACGTGCGTGTGTTCTCTCTAATTCGCATGCATTTATGCGTGACCAGGCGCAGGACGCAAACCAAACCAAAATCAAACCTGGCAACAGGCACGCAAGCAAGCAACCCGTCTGGCAGGGGGTGGTCCATCAGGGAGATAGCTGTTGCAGTTGTCCAGGCTACAAAGGGATCTCTCGCTCCTTCTCTTGATAGACCAGTCACACCACAAGTTGTCAGCTCGTTTTGGCCAAAAAGCAGTGTCCTTGTACGCCCGCTTGTTGTCTGGCTTAACTTTTGTGGCCCTGCGGGCTTGAGTTTATCGCTGCCCTGGAAACATCAAGTGGGGTAGCTCACTGCATGAGACTTATCTAGTATACTAGATAAGTATACGTCGAATACAGGGTATTCGTCTGTGTAAGCATCCTCTTGTCTGCCCTGAGCGAAGAGCACGTCCTGCATGCTGAATTTATAATTCCATTTGTGGTTTTAATTTCGTAAATGTGAGATTAATTTTATTCAATTTGCTGTGCGAGGGATGAAGCAAAAGCAGAATATTCGAATTGTTAGAAACCCAGACTCGTTGCACGCTTCATTGACTCCCAATTGTCAATACGCTCGAAAGCGAGGCGGAATTGGCAAAGTGGGCGTGGTAGAGCGAACAGTAATTAAGGCCGCTTAACTGGGAGGACTGTCACTGTGGGTCACTTTTGTCGCATTACTATCCCGACGCGCTTCTGTATTACGCCTCGACTCATCCAAAAGGTTCTTGACTAGCAATTCATCTCGGGAGTTTAGAGCCGAGACATATATATCGCGTGTCGCTCGAAAATTGCCGCAGTTATACAAGTGTTCGTTCTCCAATCGAAGAGTGTTCCAAATGAAACGTCGCTTGATCTCACAAATGCTGTTCAACGTCTTTATATTGTTGGGCAGCAGGAGATTATTGTATATCAAGTATACCTCGAAAGCCCAGAAGAAACGAATCGAGAGATCCGCAAGAATGGCGTAGTAGTAAACCCACTACAGTAAATAAACAAAGACGGAATAAGCGCGTATTGCCAGAACAGTCAAGTCGAACCTACCTTGGGGTAAATTAAACGCTTGCGAAGGAATATGTTTTTGCCCCTCCAGACCTTGAACAAGCCGTAGTCTTGCAGCAAGTCCCACGCGGTGCAGTAAATGGTCGACACAAGGGTACTAACTAAGTAGCCCCAAGTCCAGGGATTCTCAAAGATACTTTGGTACTTGCCTGCATGAGGAGATAAATGCTGAGTTCTGCTGGGAACATAGCTGGGCCACTTACTGCTCGTCTCCATTTGAATGGCTGAGATGACGCTAACAACGAGTGTAGAGCCATAGGCGAAAGCATTCACCAAATATGAAGCTGGCTTAATTGGACTATCGCGATAGCGCTTTATGCATTGGGCCATCCGGAACCAGGCGGGCAGGCAGCGCAGCACGGACACCATCGCGTCTGGCTCGAAATCGAAGGTATTCTCTCTATCCATCGAGTAACGCACATAGAAGCGAATCAACTGATAGTAGTCCACTGAGCACTGCACCAGGGATCCCAGTTGATCGGCTATCCAAAAGTCCGCAAAATGCACGTAACAGAACGGAGCGGCCAGAATGCGTCCGAAACACTGCAAGATCCACATTCGAGCCGGAAAATTCATAATGTGCACTGGATTTATGAGCAGCGCCAGCGGCAGCACCAGTCCAACTAGCGGAATATAGAAAGGATCCCTCACGCCAAACTCCTTGTGATGGATGAACAGCAGCATGGCCAGCACACAGACATACCCAAAGAAGCTGGCTGTGCTGAGTAGCTTGAGACACTCCGTCTGATTGCGAGGATTTAGATCGAAGATAAGCACGTGATTTATGCCCACACTCTGCCACACATAGACGTTGGCCACCACGCTGAAGCCATAGAGCATCAAGACGAACGAGCCGCGAAACAGTCGAGTAAAGATGAAAAACTGGTTCGTGTTGCTAAATAGGATATAGGCTGTAAAAGAGTTTAAGCATGGTTAATAATATTAGATTAACTATTTTTGCATCTCAGTTCTTGAATTTATAGAAAGTCAATTGGTCCTATCAGTTATGAACAAATGGCGATCCCTCCGCCAGTTAATCAACTAGCTCGGCTCCCAGATGAAGCAGTCTACCTACAACCATATCAATGAATGTGTCTTTTAATATCTACACCAGGATTACCAGAACTGCCTAGTGCTCCACTTATCAGTCAATCTATTAGTTTTACGGGCAATCTATCGGTCATGAGAAATGTACATGTCCATTCAGATGGGAATTGATGCAAGCCAACACTCAATACAAAAGTGTATCAATCACACAATTAACAGATGGACACAACTTCAAAGGTAAGATTTCTTACCAGAAATAACACAGACTACAATTGAGACTATAAAGAGACCCATGAATA